CTGCAGATGAATTTTCAGAGGGCCAGCAACAAAACTGCAAAACCTTTCAGGGCCTAAGCTTTGGGACTCACACAATGGCTGGTTCTGTTGGTCAACGCAAGTCACAAGGCAAACACGAATTCAAACTGAGCTAGAGAAAAAGCAATGACTCTCGAATGTGAGGAGCAGTAAACTCACATTACAAAAGAGCATAAAGGGAGGATGATTCAGGCAGGACCATTATTTAAGGATCTACCACATTTACGTTAAGTTTAAGATGTCTGTTAGACACCCAAGCAGAGGTAACTGTAAGTGCCTTGATCCCAAAGCAGGATTCAGGTCAGGGAAGTAAATTTGGGGGTCATCAACATATAGACATGATGCTTATGTGAGTCGTCCTACCCTCCAGGTTCCTGGGGACTCGTGTAAGTCTGGACTGTGGACGAAATAGGGTGCTAGCAGAGTGCAGCCCTCTGCAGCCTGAGCTGGGCGGAGGCTGGGGCTAAGAGGGACCTGCTGTTCTTGCCATTGTTCCAAGAGCACTTCCCCACTGGGTACTGAGCATCCCATTAATTAGCCTTCTCCTTCCACCTTCCTCCTCAAGAGAGCCACAAGTGGTCAGGATGAGGTTAGGACAACTGCTCTGCCTGCTGGGGATAGAGGACAGGAAACCATTCCATTGCCTCATTTTGCCACCTGAAGAAAGGCAGCTAGGAAAATGGGGACGGAGGCACATCACGGCTCCATCTTCTTTTTTTTTTGTAAGTGTAGTTCTTTTATTGATGTAAAATATACAGAACACTTGCCGTCTTACCCATTTTTAAGTGTATAATTCAGTGCTATTAAATACTTTCACATTGTTATGCACCATTACTTCATCCATCTTCTTTTTGTTGTGCTGCATTTGCTGCCAGGTAGGAAAACTTTGCAAAAGCAACCGATTCCCATGACCCCCACTTCTGACCATTTCCTTTCATTCTTTGTCTAGGAGACAGTGATTTGGACATCATTCCAAAGTGCCCAGCATTTTGTTAATCCAAACCTCATCACCCTTATTGTACTTTTTCCTGTGTTTCTCGGCAGGAAGGGGCTGTTTGTTGTCATGGTTTTAATATCAGGAAGAAGGAAAAGCAATAAAGAGGTTGAGCCTAGTGCTTTTTTTTAAAAAGGTGATTTCAGAGCTATTCCAAACCAGCAGAAAAGACAGGGCTGAAAACCGCAGCTACTATGCCACAGATCAAGAATTCTGGTGCTGCCCACTCTCCTCTGAGTTACTTTTCCTGTTTGTCTTTATGAAAATGAAAACTGCCTTACACCCATCATTTCTGTAGCTGCACCAACCTCTCTACCTTCCTGAGAATTTAGGGGACTTGGGAATCTGTGTTCTCCATTTGTTCCCCAACCTTACCACGGTTTTCCTCACACTTGTTAATGCTTCAAGATCTTATTTTAAACTGGTCCTGCTAATTTCTGCATTCCCCCATGCCTGCTCCCAAACTCAGGGTTGGGTTGGGGTCGAGGTGAGGCACATACAAGAGTTTCCGGCTCCACCTTTCCTATCCTGGGTTGGGTTGCATTAATTGACCTCGAGGGTCTCAGCTGTGCTAAATTGGGTGTTTGTTAGATCTAGTTATGCTTGTAATTAGTGTAGAGAATCTAGGTCAGAGGCAACTGGTTGGAGTGATAGTCGCAGGGGGCATGAATAAAGGCAGGGATTGGCAAACAGGTTCCTTGTTCAGGGGGTGGGGTGAGCCAGGGACAGGGACTGGTGGGACTGGTGTCAGACACCCAGAGACACAGGGTCACGTGCAGAAAGGCGCTCATACTCTCGGACGTGTGTGGTGCATTCGCTCTCGCTTTTACTCGGGTTTCTTTCCAGCCTCTCCATATATGGTGTGGCTCCCGAGCTGGCTGGGGATTGGCTGCTGTTGTTGGGAGACTGTGAGATTGGAAGGAAGCAGAAAGAGAACCAAGCCGGTGAAAAGAGTGGTGGGGGAGGGGGCAGCAGCGAAGACTGCCGAATGGGGCTGGTCCGCTTGCTTGGAGCTTAGAAAGGGGAGAGATTCTTTGGGACCGGTTTTTAGGGAGAAAGACGTAGACTTTACTGTTGGCAGAGGGGCTGGTGGGGATAGGTTTCTTTAGGGTCGCAGTTCTGGGGTTAGCAGGGTCTCTGAAGGCCGCTTAGGAGGCACAGAGACTTGCGGGTTTTCCCTTTTCATCCTGAACTCTTCGCAGCTGTGCTGCCGACCGGTATGCAGATGAGCTCATCGGCGTTCCAGATCAGCCCCTCAGACATTTTCCCAATGGTCCCTAAACCCTCGCTGAATTAAATTTAATGGGGGAAGAACAAGACAAGTTGAGGAAAATGTCATTTAAATATGAACTGGCATTTAGTTCTTTCCCTGTTTCTGCCCCTTACGCGGGTTCATTTCTGTCCTGAATTTCCTCGTCTCCCCATCACAGAGCCTCCCAAAAGATTCTCCCTTGTCTAGTTCATTTATGTAAAAGAAGATAGCAAAGTTGCTGGGAGGAGGGGGAATAAATATACATCCTGAAGAATGTCTATGTGCGGCTGAGTGTAGTAAGTTCCGCACATCCCCGTACTCAGTCTGCCCATTTACCTCCAAACCCAGTGACTGGGAGGAAGCGAGGGATAGAGTGAGGGAAGAGAGGGGCTGGGTATAGGGAAAGTTGGAGTCACAGCACCACTGTTCCCCTGTCCGGGTCGGTGCCCATTCTTCACTAATGGAAATCATGCTTTCAGTCCACCGTCAGGGTGCGTTTCAGGCTAGCTTTCTAGTGGGAAGCCTGGCTTCTTGTTAAGCTCTGAAGTTCTTCCACGACGGGACATCATGCTTCCTTCCTATCTCTAGCCTTTAGCACAGTGCTCGGCACTCTCTGTCTCTGAAGAAAGGGTTAAGTGCATAGCCTGTAGCCTATGCACTAGAGCAAAGTGACAGTGATTAATGCTGTGCCCTAGGCCTCATTCAAACTACACTCCTGCCACTAGAGCTAGCTGCTCAAAGCTCACTGAATCAACTAATAGCAGCAGCCAAAGCATCCCTCTGCTGAGTGCCAACAGCTATTTGTTGACTGCCAGGTATTTTTCATGCATCGTCCTTACCCATCCAATACTAACTCTCCATTTTGCAGATGAAAAAAACACTCAATGTGTGCCTTGCTGGGCCTCACAACTAAAAAGTCCAAATTTGAGCTGTGATCTGTTCTAAAGCTGGTCTCATTTTACCACCTCGTGGCCTGGGTCTGGTGCCTGAGGACCCCGAGCCATGCCCCGCTGTTAGTCTCCTGGGGCCCCTGACCCTTCCTGCTTCTCCTTGCCCGTCATCCCTCTCCTGGGTCCCCCCACCCCAGTCCCCCTGGGGCCACAGATGATCAGCATGTTGGGATGCACATGCCATTCTTGCTTTTGTCTTTTTCATCATGTGGGAGTGACAGGGGTGAGAGAGAAAAGGGAAAATGCTGGTAAAATAAAATAATACAATGATGAAGACATATAAAAAGAAAGTAAACATCACTATAACCTAGATTTTTCAGTATGTGTGACCATGGTTGGGTCTGCTGGCCATGTGTAGAGTTTAGGAGTGTGAAGCCTGCTCAGAGGACATAAGCCTGGAACCCAGATTCCCTCACCTGCTCCCCCAGGAGCCCCTGGGCATGACATTTGGGTGGCACTCTGGTATATGACTGAGTGGGGCTGGGGGCACTAAGAGAGAGCAAGAATCTCTGCCTTAGAGCTGGCTTCCCCTGGAGAGGCCCCCATCTGACTCAGGAAGGGGCAGAAAAGTGCAGATTACAGGGTCTGTTTTGCCCAGAGGGTTTTCCTTACGGCTCCCCCACCTATCTTCTTGAACTGCACCTTAGGGCAGCCTCGTGGCCAGGATCTTCAGGCTGTTTGTCCCCATTTTCTCCCCTATTGCCCCTAGGGAAGCTCTAGGTCTGGGCTCTTGGAAGGTGAGGGAGATCTAGGGAAGATCAGGAAACCAGCCAAGGGCGACATTTCTAAGTGTTTTTTTAACCCCTTTCTATGGTTCATGAGGTATCTGTCCCCTTCTTTCCAAAAACCATTCATATCTTGCCTTCATAACTCTCCTCTGGACCCTATCACTGTTACCAAACCTGTTATAAACTGCAGAGGAAAGAAGCAAACAAGATAAAGTGAATTATGCAGGATCTACCATGGGCAAGAACACAAAGGGGCCCAAAGGTGGTCAGGGAGGTGGCATTGTGAGTGTAAGGATGCTGTTCTAAAGCCGGGCCCTGTTAGTGTTGGAAGAGGAAGGAGGAGAGGCTACAACAAACCCTAACTTGGCCAAAAGAGGAACCCGGCACGTTTGGTTTTCCCTTCATCCTACCCAGTTGGCATCACGAATCATTTCCTTAGTTCAGTTCTTCTGAGGGTCAGCTGTTCCTAGGCCCCCTGTGCTAGGTCCCCTGGCCAAACAATCAGTCAGCCATCTGCTCAGAGTTGTGCCTTTGAATCGAGTTGGGCAGGGTATGGGAGGTACAGGGAAGAAACACATCCAAGAGGAAAGCCAGGCAGCTCAGCCTCAGCCACACGCTGCTCTGGGTACGGAGACAGTGCCAGCAGGGGAGGTTTCCACCCCACAGCTCCTCCTCAGGGCTGGGGTAAATGCCACTTCTGGGTGCACAGACAGGTGGCACTGGTGGCCACATCCCTAGAGCTAGAGCTGGGCAGCTTAAATTTCACCTGCAGGTTCAAACCTGGGATGGGACATGAGAGAAAACCCTCTCCCCTCTGGACTTAGAAGCCTATACATGTTCATGGGAGCATCACTAGCTTCCCCCACTATGTCTCAGAGGGGTGGTGTGTGTAAGATGGTCAGACTGTGCCTTTAGTACCCTTTCTTACACTTCATCCAGGTGAAAGCATCTTAATACTGCTATCAGGTCACCTCCTCCTCACCACTGAGGCAATTTAGGTCTCAGATAGAGGAGCAAAGGAATGAAAGGAGGCTGGGAAAAGAGGCTTGGACATCAGCAAGAGCAACAAGTTTGACTGTGTTTTTGTTTTCTTTTTTTGACTGAGGTAAATAAAAAAGCTTTATCCTGCAACACTTGGGAGATGAAGAGTCTGTGCACCCCACCAGGCTCCAGACCCCAGCCCCTTCCTTCACATCAGGCTCTTCCGGTACTGGCTGTGCTGGGGGGTCCGACTGAGGTTGCCGTCGGGGCTCTGCAGGTCCATCTGCCTGTACAGGTCCCTCAGCTCCCTGACCTCCTGCAGTACCCTCTTTGCCTGGCTCCAGTTCGACGATGCTTCTCCCAGCAGCCGCTCTGTCTCCTGCAGCAGCTGCTCTGACTCACAATCAGGAGGAGACCAAGGGGGGTCCTTGGCCTTCCGCTTCCCATCTCCCAGGCCCTGGACCTCCGCCAGCAGCTCCTGAGTCTTCTCCAGTTTCCTTGCCACCAGGTCCTGGATCCGGGACAGCTGCCCCAGGGCAGGTGGGATGAGGGCTGGGGGTTCCTGGGTCCGCAGCAGGAGGGTGCAGGCCATGGCAGTGTCCCGCGGAGAAAGGATCTCCTCCAAAGAGGCACAGCGGCCTTTCTCTGTGGGGGTCAACTTCTTGGGTGCTTGAGGGGTGTAGGTGGCCCCCTTGTCTGGTCTTTCCCATGGTGGGGGAAGGCCACTTGCCCGGTCTGAGGAGGGCGGGATGCGGTCTGAGTCTGCCCTCTGCCGGCTGCCTGCCAGCTGAGCCACAGACTTGTCCAGGTCGACCCGAAAGTTCTCAGCACAAGAGGTTGGCTCCTCTGGGGAAGGGTCTTCCTCCTGGATCAGGTCCAAGGTCAGCATCCCATCCGAGGTAGAGGTTGAAGCCTGAAGAGGGAGAGAGCAGAATGAAGGGGGTAAACTGTCATCCATGAGCATTTCAAGAGTGACGGCTGGAAGGGCGATAAGAGCCGTGGTCACTTTCCTCCTCAACATGCCTTCCCTGAAGGAGACGCCTCCCACTACTGACAACTTTGACTTTGTATGCTATTTCTGATTCCTTTGGTAGTACTCTGAACTTACTTCTTTCTTTTGTTTTTCTGTGATTTAAAGCAATTTCTCCTGCTTCTTTCTCATACTCTCCGTTTTACTGTGAGCTTCTTGAAATGGGTGAAAAAACCATCTATTTCCTTCTTATTATGGACTTGAAGCATCAAATTTGGCTGACACAACCAGGATGCTCCACACAGCACAGAAACTGTCCTTTTCCATCTGCATCCTCTAAGGCACACACTTCAACCCCTTCTGCTAACTGGAACTCAGAAACCTTTGCCTTAAAATGAAACTTGTTCTATTTCTAGAATATTGTAATTAAAAAAAAAGTGATTCATTACCTCATTATATATTGACACATATGTTGTTTCAACCCACTCCTCACAGTAACATTTCAAGGCAGGCATGATTGTGGCCACACTTTCAGTTGGGGACATGCAGCTTCAGGGAATCACAGAGAGAGTAAACTACAAAGCTAGGTTCCAATCCAGTTCTGTTCTATTTCAAGGCCTCCGTTCTTTCTACTAAACCTGATTGCCTCTCTCCCTACAGATTTAGAGCTTGGACAAATGAAAGAAACCGACACTCTGTGTGTGACAGGGGTTCACTGGGATCATCTTCCTCTAAATGCCTGTGGTACTTCATGCTGATACCCAGCAGGAGAGCCAACCACATGTCAGCAGCTTTAGCGCCCTGTACAGTCCTCAACTCTTCTGTTTTTCACTTTCCTTGTGGTATATCTCATTTCCCCCCAAAGGGTAACATATTTATTGGGGGCAGGGACTTTTGACTTCATAGCAGGTGCTGAACAAATATTTTTGATGTGGAGGAAGCAGGCAGGGGCACAGGGTGGAGGGACTTCCCTAGCCTTAGACCTTGGTGACCTTGGTATCACAAATCCTCTGGTGGGCTGCCTGAGATAGAGCCCTGTCTGAGACACACTGACATGGAATTGGCCCTTCAGCAATTTTTACTGTCTTAGAGTCTTACATACCACAGCCATTAGGTGTCCCCGAGTCGGGGGGCGGCGGGAGTGTTGGATTTTTGCTCTGTCTCGAGTTGGGTGGGCAAGATAGCTGTCTTCCTCAACGGTGACCTGAGGAGACGCATTGGGAGTCACAGGTGCTCTCAGACTCTGCCCCAGCCCAGCATCCCCTGAGGCCTGAACATGTGTGGGCTGGGAGACTGACCCAGCCTTTAACTGCTTCTGAGCAAGTCCAAGGGCAAGGGACTTACTGGGCATGAAGAAGTTCCTTAAGCTGGCCAAGGCTGGCCCATGGATGGATGAAGCAAGGAAAGAGGAGCTAGCAGGAAAGATTTACAAAGATGGTAGGAGAACAGGGTTTTCAAAAGGGAAATAAACAAGTAAAACTGATGGGGGGAGCAAGGCAATGGGGCCCACACAATAAACTTTGCTTATTAGTGAGTCACAGCCATTCCCTCTGTAGAGAGTCCCTCTCCCCACAGTGAGCCCCCTGACCTCATCCAAGATGCGGTTCTTGGCTCGAGTGATAGCGGAGTTGAGAGCACTGATCCATGATTCCTTCTCTTCTGGACTCACTGCCAGGAAGATGAGGTTGGGAGCCTGTGAGGGAAGATTCTTGTTTCAGCCAGGGTTTTAGAGTTGGCGCCTCACCTTGACAGTGAAGAAATAAGAAATTATCATCTCATGCTTAGACCCAGCTCCTGGAAGGAGAGATTCTGCTTCCAGACTCACCCATAACTTAAGGAAACTAGCCTCTATTCCTGCAAAATGCCATCACTTGGAGATTGTTTTAGAAATGACCAAGGAAGAAGAATACTGGATATTAATATGGTACTGGAGATAACTAGAGGAGGTTTGGTAAAGGACAGGTGCTAAAATAAAGATCTTTAAATGTATGAAGAAATAGAATGTGATATAGGAATGGCTTCCCTAGGTTCCCTCAGATAACAGGAATTAGATTCAGAGCTTCAGCCACCTATAAGGGTACTGGAAAAAGTGATTTTTTCCCCAATAGATGTGCAAATGTGTGTGTGTGAGAGAGAGGGAGAGGAAGGGAGGGAGAAAGAGGGAGATAGATGGATAGATAGAGAGATGATCTTTGTGTCTGGACAGTTTAAAGGCTGGCTTGCCTGGAGGGAAGGAAATGGCCACAACATTCTCAGGTTAAGTAATAAAAGCAGGTGGCCAGCAGGAGAGCAAGTCAGGTCCTGCGAGCCACAGAGTTGAGATGGAGAACCTGAGGGGAAAGGTGTTCTTCTTTGCCCTTGACACCCCCTGATTGGGTGAGCGTCCCAGTGGCCCAGGTGGTGGGAGAAACATACCGTGTTACCAGGCTGTTTGGAGTAGGCAAGAGTGAACTTGCTATGATTTTTCTTGCTCCTGCTCTTAGATTTCCGGAGCTCTTCACACTTCTCATAGTCACTCAGGTCAAACACCTCTTGGCTATTTTTCTCATCTTTTACCTAGGGGAAGGTTGGAGGTGAGGTGATGAAGATAAATTACTTAGTCCCTTCCCCCAGACTACTGGCTTAGAACACTCTTGGGAACCAGAAGAAGCCGAGGAGAAATCAGGGCTGACAGGACAGGAAAGGGCTGTCCTACCCAAGGTCCACAAAGGCCTGACAGTGGGGGACAGCACTCTGGCAGCCCCCAGATTCTGACTCCTTCAGTGGGTTTCTGTTTAACCCCACATCACCAGTCTCATCAACAGCTAGTTTCCAGAGCCCCAGCATGATTCTCTTCACCATGACCCCCTACTTTGTCCTTCAAAGGTCACAGCTTACAAGGCTAAGAGGTTAATCCTTAAGAAAGCAAGAATGGATGGCCCTTGAGTGTCCAGAGGAAGGAAGTAAAGGCAGGCCAACACCAGGGGCTCTATGGAGGCAGTGAAGGGCTGCCTCTGGCCTCCCATGTCTGTGTTTATGTTGTCCTTTCCCTACCTGACCTGGCTCCCTTCTGGAGTATACACTATTACACAGTCAACTGCCTCAGCAGGCTCAGAAGTGCCGTGCCATAGGACCCACAGTCCCTTGGGCTCAGTTTGTTGAGTTTGTGCAGACAAGCTGAACATACACGTGTAGTTCCTGCCCTTCCTTCCTCCTGCCGAGGTACTATGACAACCCAGCCTAGCTCCTGTGGGCTTGGAAAGCCATTTAAATCATCCCTCTCTCTCTTGGAGAAGATGCACTTAACACTCCCCAGAGGACTAAACTGCAGACTTGGAAAAAAAAGTGGACCTCTTTTCATGAATCCAGTTTGAGAGCCTAAGGCCCTTACTGCTGGGACCTTCTTCCTTGTATCTAGAACTTAGACCTTCCTGCTTGTAACATCCATCGTGTACCCTGGTTCTACCCTTAGTAGCTTTATCCAGCACTTGGCTCTTAACTCTCTGGCTGAATGTCTACTCAGAGACCAAAATTCTGTCTACACCCTCCCACCCTGATCAGCCTTTGCTGAGGGCCATAAAGTGAATTCCACTAACATTTCTTCCCAGGCCCATTATAAGCTTCTCAGTGTCTTCCTCTTCTCCCCTCTGGTGTTCCCCACAGCCCTGGTACTCTGAAGCTGTGGTTTATGGATCGTTTTTGGCCTGCAGAAGCAGAGGGGAGCTGGCTGCTGACCCAGGCAGAGTCTGGGATTAGAAAGCTCCTTTACCCTCAACTGCTTGAGCCTGGACTGCAAGACCCTGGGAGTGAGCTGGTCACGTTTTCCTGGGATGAGTGATGGAAACCACAGACACTTATCTTGTTAAAATTAAGTAAACAGATAAAGGTAGCCTTGTATGCTCCTTAGAAGATATCCACCCTTCCTGACTGCAATTATTTCACCAGAGTATTATTCACTTCCCAAGCTCTGAATTAGGAACTGTGTGTGTGGACGTGACTTCATCTCATCAGCCTTGCAGCGGGGAAGTGGTTCTCTCTTCCATTCCCCAGCCCAGCCCTGGCTTGTGTCTGCCTAGCCTTCTGCCTTGCTGCTGCACCCACGGGCAGACACAGATGGCGAGGGGCATCACATAGCCCCTATCAGTTGAATGGTTGCTCACAACAGGCGCCTCTGGTGGCTTCAGCCAGAAAGAGGCTCCTCTGGGTCTCTCCTCTTTCCAGGGCCCCCTGGCTTTGGGCTGGGAAGGGACCAGAAGCATTGAAGGGTTGGGGTTGGACGTGGACAAGATGCTAGGAAGGGGCATCCAAGAACAATTCCCAGAAACATGGGGCAGGGATGCAGGGTGAGGCATCACTCCTTCACTGCCCCTCCTACCTTAGAGTCGAGACTATCAGTAGAGGCCAGTAATCTTGGAAAGGAAAGTGCTGTGTGTGTGTGTACAGCCAGGGGAAGAGAGTTACTTGTTCTGTTTTCCTTAGGGGGAGGGAAGGGAAGGGAGGAGGGAATTCTGGCTTGGACTCAGCTGATAAGGAGCTCTGGAGAGCAGGAGACATTGACAGAGGTTAGCACTGGGTAGGGGAGGGCTAGGAGATGGGGTGAGGCAAGCAGCAGAACAAGTATATTCCAGTTCCCAGGGAAGATGCATAACTCCAAGACCCTTGTTCTCCACTGTATTGTTTTTTCCCTCTACCTATTCCCAAGTCTCATTTATAATTCCCTGTCTACCAAAGTTAACCTTTCCTTTCCTCTGACTCCTTGTGCTTGGCATACAGAAAGGGATTTTCCCATGCTTGCCAAAAAAGGTGTTCTGAACTCCATGTCCCCTACCATGAGGTTTTCCCAAGGTTTAGTCCTGTTCCTACACATCAGCCCCATGATCAAAAGGTGCTCTTTAAGAATGAGGAAAATAATCATTAGCAACAAATACAGGAGGATTTCTTTGATGGATGCAGTTGTGGCAGACTGCCTTTATGAGGGGAAGTAACAAAAGACAATTGCAAATTCTAGGGGAGAAGGTTAGTTTTCTTACATTAACACACAAATTATAAACATTGTATGATGCATTTTTTAAAAATCTTGAATCTTTTGGTTGTGGAGCTTTTGAGAAGTAGATGGAATAAAGCCTACAGCCTTCCGTCTACCAGTTTCCCCTTTAACCCGGGCCTACTGTAGCATGGCAACTGGCTCCAAAGAAGAGTAACATCAATAGATTTGTTCCCTCTTTTCCTCTGTCTTCTCAGCAGGGAGCAGTTGGCCCCATGACCAGTCAGATGCTCTTGACTCATAGGACACCAGACATCCTAGGCTGAGGTCACTCCATCCTTTCCCCTATCTCTGTACCCCTCCTTCCATAAACAAGGATCAACCATTCTCTTCTGTCCCCATACTCTGTTCTTTGGACAAATACAAAGAAGATAAAAATGTCTTGTTTTTTTTCTCCCCTTTCACTGTTCTCATGTTTCCTCTTTGGTGGGAAGTTCTCCCTCATTGCTCACTAGTTTCCTGCCATTATGAAGTTTAGGGAAGACAGGAGATAAACTTTGATACTTGTTTACTTATTTATTAAAAAAACAACAACTGGAAAGCCAGCAAATTGTGAAAAAACCCTCTGTTGGACTCCAGATTGGGTAGAGATGACCCTTAAAAAGATATCCTCCTGTCAAAGTCTTCTCTCATCTCCAACACCAAGTCCGCAGCTTGATATAAACAGCAAGGTTTAGGCACCCTGAGAAGGGCTCTCTTTGGCCCTGGGAAGGCTTAATTCTTCCCCAGCTGCCTCAGTAGATGTTCTGTTTGGACGAACACTTTCTCTAGGACTGCGTGTGTGTCTGTTTCAATACCATAAAAGGATTTATTTACCTAAATATAGTGTACTGCCGAAAGCAGAAGAGGTTAGACCTCAGGGAGGACTTTCCAGTTAGCCACAGGGGAGGGAACATGGAACGGGGTCGGGGGGAGGGGGACACAGGGCAGTTTCCTACGCTGTGCTGACATAGTTGAAGAGGTGGGGACTAGAACGACTTTTAGCCCATGCAGGGGTCATTTCAGTTTCTCAATATTACTACATAGTATTATATCAAAAATTAGAAGATAAAAGGAAGAAGGGTCCGGATTCAGTGATCTTGGCTCAGGTTCTGAACTAAGGTGGACTGTGGTTTCCATTTTAGCTACAGAGCCAAAGCTATCCAGAGGTGTTCAAGGTTTCATAACCCCATTTTTCTCCCTTCTGATACAAATGGGGGTGGGGTGGGCAGGAAGATGGTAGAGAATGAGTTCCTTGCTACAGCTTCTTTTTTTTTTAAGTGGAGTTGGGAGTGAGGAACAGGGTGTGTACTGGTTAGGGACATTGGCTGCAACAGAAATAACTGTCTGCCACTCATAAATACTCAGGTCAGAAGAGACTGACCCTGGGCTGTGTGTTTTCTGTGATTCAGGGCAGCTGCACTGCTAATGCGGCCTGCGTTATGCCCCTGCTAGAGACAGGAAAGCAGAGACTAGCTGGGTTGGAGCGGGGAGACAGGAAGGGGTAGAGAATAAGCTGAGCAGCGTTTTTCAGCAGCAGTAGCAAAGAACAAAAAATCCCATGTTTAGCTAGGGGCCAAAATAAAGTTCGGGGCAGCAGGGGACGGCTGAGAACTTTTGGGACATCTTCATCTTTGGAAGGAGTTATTGCTGTCAGAAAGACATTTGCTAAGAAAAATCTTTTTACATAAGGTGCACACTTAACTTCTGACTCAGGTCTCCTCGCTAAAGGGACCTTTCTTTGCAGATGGGATGGGGGCCGATACCAACCGGACTGCAACTTGCGTTTGGAACAAAATTTGGGGTGAGAGGGGGGGAGGTGGAGGATGAGAAGGTGGGGAAAATGAGAAACAAGGGATAGAGAGGCAAAGGTCACCTACCTCCTTTTCAGAGATGTAGAGCTGATCCCCTTTCAGCACCACATAGCGGTTTTTCCAAATCTCCCTGAAAATGCCTTTCCCGCAGAATTTCCGGACCCAGCCGACCTTCTCAGGAGGTGCGCACTGGTGATTTCCATCCTGAGGCCCCTGCCCCGGAGCAAGATAAGAGCCGTGGGGTCAGGTGCTTAAGCTTGTTCCTTCTCTCCACTGCGTCCCTCGCCCCAGCCTCCCTGTGACCGCCCCACCGAAGGCCGGGGTCAGGGGCCCAGCGTCCGTCCCCCACTTCCGAAAGGTTTCCACTCGGAGGAACTCTCTGCTCCATTGCTCCCCTCCCCCTTCTCCCAAATAAACAACTGAAACAGCGAAAGTAAGGGGTCAGGGCCCGGCTGGGCGGAGAGGTGGCCTTCGGCTTTCCACCGGCCCCCTTCCCCTCCCCCAGCCTCTCCTCGCAGCGCCGGGATTAACGGCGTTTTATTTTATTTCTCATTGTCTTCTCGCCACTGCGGAGCGCGACGCAAACGGCTGCCGCTGGCCCAGGGGACGGGGAGGCTGGGGCGAGGGCAGAAAGTAAGCCAAGTGAAAGCCCCCAACACAGGTAAACAAACAAAAGCCCCAGTGCTGCCAGTCCTGGGGCCTGGCCGGGCGCGCGGCCGGGGTCGAGGGCCGGGGGACCCGCGGCCGGGCCGGGCGGGGACTCGCGCAAGGCGCCCGACCCGGCCGCTCCCGGCTCCGACGGGGTCCCCCGAGCTCAGAGTCAGTGGCGGGCGCGGCGCCGGCGGGCGCACTCACCCTCTTGGTGGAATTGTTCTTCTTCATCATTCCGGGTGGGCGCGCGGGCGCTGGGGAAGGCGCCGGAGGCGGCCCCGCGTCGGGCGCCGAGGCCGCTCGGAGGGGCGCCTGCCCAGGGGGAGGGTGGCGGAGAAGCCCCCGCCGCCGCCGCCGCCGCTCCGCCCTCCCTCTCCCCGGCGCTCCCCTCCTTTGTAGCTCCGGTTACACTAGAGGCCGGCCTCCCTCACCCTCGCACACACGCCCGCCCGCTCCCCGCCCCTCGGCGCCCTCCATCCCTGCGCCCCGGCGGCCTCTCCCCCGGCCCGGCCGGCGCCCCGCGGCTCCGTCCGCCGGCCAGCTGACGTTGCGAGTTCAGAATAAAGGGCGAATCGCGGAGCCGCAGAGTGCGCGCCCCCTTCACCTCCTTTGTTTCCGACTCGCTGAGGGCGAAGAAGACAGACCTGATCCCAGCTGGGGAGCGGCTTCTAAGAGCGGCAGAGAGCCCCAGGCTCAGCCCGAGAGCCGGCGCGAGGGGCGGGGCCGCCCGGGCCTGACCGGGAGACGGCCGAGGCAGGTGGAGGAGCAGTAGACAGACTTACGGAGACCGGATATAACCTGGACCGAGATCATCTTCCTCCCAGACCCACAACCAAAACAAGAGGGGAGCTGCGAGGGCGCGTTACTAGAGCAGGCGTCTGGAATTCATACTTTCTAGGTGGTAGAGAGAATGGCGTGGGCAGGTCAAGGATTGGCGAAAAGTTTTATGCTTCCGAGGGTATTGATGAGTGCTGGGGCGCAGTGGGAGAGAAGTTAGTACACATTTCCTCCAGATGACAAAGACTCAGGCCTGATTTAAGCCGCAGGAGACTAACATCTATGTATGAGGAGGATACTATGATCCCCATTGCACAGAGAGGAGTGTGACTCAGAGTGGCTGAGGAAGATGCAGACACACACAAAGTCTTGGCAGGAATAGAGTTCTCTTGTCTCCAAAGCCAAGATCCATTTCACTGAGTGGCTTTAAATATAACTTCCAGGTAAGGCTAGAACTACCTACCGCCAGGGTATCTCCCCCTGCTGCACTGACTTGTAAACATCCCACCCCGTCTACCGCATTCGAGATCAGTGGAGGGAAGGGCTCAATGTCCAGACAATGCCTCTGACTGGGGAACCTCTGCTGATGCCTCAGAGCTTGCAGACCAACATTTTAGTAACTTCATTCCCCCTGCCCCCCATACCTATTTAACGGAAAAGGGGGGAGTCAGGAAACCTAGGTTTGGGTACTGGTTTCATCACTAGTCTTTGGCCTTTGGTCAAGTCACTGAATTTCTTTAGGCCTCAGTTCCTCCACATACTAAATGGTGAGAGAGAAACTGCCAATTCCATCAACTAGAAAGTTAGGGGAATGTATATGACGACTTGTGAAAGTCCTTAATTGCCCTCCAGGGCTGATGATTGAATAATAATAAGCTAACAAACATATTGCCTGATGTAAGGGAGCATGCGATAATCACAAAAATGAATAAAAACCCCTGCAAAGAGGAGCAGGAAAAAGGAAAAACACTTTTTTTCTGGAGATGTCTCAAGATTAAAGAAAGTGTTGGCCACATTTGGAGTCTGAGGATGGGAGTTGTCTTGGCTTTTTCTGGTACCTGTCAAGTGAAGGAGGGGGTCTCTGTTTTCCCAGCCCTCTCTCCCCTCTAATCCAATAATATTCTTCTTAACCTCTTTTCATTTACCATACTAATACCTATAGTTCAGACTGATACAGAAATTTATCCTTTTAAAATGTTCTTATATGTCATTTCTTTAAATCTTTAGTTCTACCTTGTGTGGTATACAGCATAAATATTATTATTCCCACTTGGAAAAGGAGGGAATGGCATGGCAAATCACCCAACTAGCCCAAGTTTACACAGCAAGTTACTGGCTAAATGGATTAGAATCCAAGTTATCCAACTTGTCTACTATTCACTAACATCTCCTGTACCCACTATCCCTGTTTCCCACTGTGTTTACAAAGTGATTTAAAAAGAATGAGAAACTCCAGATCTCTGTAAGTGAGGAAACAGAATGCCCCAGTGTACAAATGGTACAGGAGACACCACCAGAGGTCTCCCCACTCAGGGTGTCACCTGGGCATTGAGTTCTTCCCTTGGGTCTGGTAGACAGGATGGATGTTCACACATCAATGCAGGAACATGCCTGCGTGACTTTTTGAGGACTTGCTGGCCAGGCAGATGGGCATGGTCTGGATTTGTAGTTTAGATTCCAGTTGATGGGAAAGATTGATTCATGTCTTGCCCCATCTCATCCTTTCCTCTCCTTTTAGTCAATAAATATTTGAATGTTTTCTATATGTAAGGACTGGGGCCCTTGTGTGCTGCATCCAGCAGAGGCTGGAGCTCTGTGGAACATCAGGCAGAGGGACTGCTAAACAATCAAACCCTCCAAAGGAATTTTCAGATTCCAGAACAGATGTATGTGGGCTGGAGAACCTTCCCTATTTGCTCCTTAAGATATTACATAAAGCTGTTTTTTCTTCTTCTTCTCTCTTTCAACCTGCATTGCCTCCTCTTACCATCCTGCCCCTACCTTCCCTCACTTTGTCTCCCTTTGTCCTATTACTCACGCCTCCTACCATATGCCATACTCTTCCCCTGCCTTTTTTTAAAAATTCAATTGCATGTTTATTCAAAAATGTTTTTGCGCCATTATTTTGAGAAATGACACTGGGAAAGACTCTATGAGTCTATGGAGGATTCCCATCTGCTGACCAGATGCCAGCAAATTAATTGGATTCTGCTAATAGTTAAAATGATAAAATTATGTCCACTGCCTTGTCCTTTAAGCTAACTTCATTCTCACCAGGTGAATCTCATGGTACCTGAATTGGAATGTATGAATTGATACTGTTTCCAAAGACCAATTCTTAAGTGAGAAATCTGAGTAAGAACTTACAGGTTCCTTTATTCATTTCATAGCACTTTCCTTTAGTGAGCTTGATGCTATACACACACACACCACAAAAATAACTCAAGCCAAATTTTCTCCTGGGTGGAGATAAAATCCTGGGAGGATTTTTGATGGGGTTACCTCCCTAACTGTATCACCACGGATAAGACAACTGCCAGCAGCTTTATTGTTCAGTTGACTGTTTTGTAAGTAACTTCACTAAAGGGAGAAAGAAGGGAGCTATCAGAGATAAGGACTTGTGAATTGCTGCCTGTTGCAAGTTCACTAGGCAAGAACTGTTATTCAGACATTTGTGCAGCTAAAAACAGGTACCTTGGCTTTTGTGGAGTAAATGGGGCATTTCAATCTGTAGAAGAGCAGTCATTTAAAGCATATGAAACTTTAATTAAAGTGATGTTTTTACAGGGAAAAATAAAGGGCCAGTAATAATGTAATCAGCCCTGTAAATCTTAAATAAAAATACATGTCTGATCCTTAATAAAGAAATGACAACTTCTGGCATCAAACATCCTGAGCGTAAGGCTCATTTCTCAGACTTCTTGATGCTGTTAGTTGAGCAAGGCACAATGCAAGCAAGTAATGAGGAGAATGATACATGAAAAGTCTCTGTTCTTATTTTTAGTTCAAAGAGTTACCTTACCAAGAGTAAGGGAAGACAGGTAATCCTGCTTGTAGGAGGGTTCTTTTTATTTGAAAAGACTACAGAACTTGTAAAATGCTGCATCTAAAATAGTCTCTCTAAATGAGGGCTGAAGGCTGTCACACTTTTTTATTATAAACAAATGAATTAAAAAAGATGTACCTCGAGGGACTCCACCTTCCTCCCCACCAAGGCAGGGAACTTAGATCTTAGCTCTTAGCTATAATATGGACAAAAGTCTTAGGGCTTCACATGAGCATAAGGTAAAGAAGCAATGACTGAGAGCTGAGAGGAATGGGGAAAAGGGAATGGAGAGAATGACCTTTAGCTTTTTGCTCTTCTTGAGCTGTGGATTAGAAAAGTGGGAGGGTTGACAGCAATCCAATCATTTTGTGTAATGATTTTGTATCCCCAACTTAGAGACAGGAATCAGTCATATTTACTATTATTCATCAAATTCCATTGAGCGTTTACAATGTTCCAAGTGTTTTATATGTATTATCTCACTTAATACTTACAATCCAGTGAGGAAGGTACTTTATTATTCTCATTTTATAAATGAGGAAACTGAGCCACAGAGACTAAATAACATTCCCAAAAGCCAGAAAACGGTAACGTTGATTTGAGCCTAGGCTCTCTTTTTTTTATCAACATAAAAGATATTTAAAAAATATTTATATCTATCTATATAGATATAAAGGGCTTAGAACAGGGAGGCACTGTGCTATGGTGTTTTTTGCTACGGTTTGAGGATGCCAATCATTTCCTGGCATTAATGACATCTTCACTTTCCACTGCTTTCAAGAGAAGTGAAATTGACATCAGAATTTATTATTTGCCTTAACATACTTTAAATATCCTTTGGGTGGACACAATGCCTTCCTTCTGTTGGATGTAAAGCCCCCTCATGCCTCAATTTTATGAATTTCCATAAATAATTATTGACCCCCAAAGAAATAAAAACAAATCATTTGTATCTTTTCACCAAATGCATTTTTATTGTAGTCACACGTGGTTTCTCAGTGCCACAGAAACTGCAGTGTAGGGACCAACCTACAGAAACATGATGAGTTTTCAGAAATGAGTTGTGCAGGGATGTGGTTAATAAAAAAGTAAAAAGGGTCAAGAGAGAGAACAGAGAGTGTGTAGCATGTGCATCAAATGATTACTTTTTAAAACTCCTTTAAGCTCTGATAACCCTTTTCTCAAGTAAGATGCCAACAAATCACCAGAACCTGCAGTGGATTGTACTGCAAGTACAAGGGATACAGTTATTTATTTGACAAGGAAGCAGTGGGAAAAGTGCGTTGGCATAGGCTCAGACTTATTCTCAACTCATCACTGGGTGTCTTGGTGTTTATACCAACAGTTCAGGAATGAGCAGGCTACTTGGAGGTGGGCTGTAAAACAAACATAAAACCCCAGGCTCTTCTCCAACACTGCAGGGTACTGGGCAAAGCCTGTGGTGAGGCCAGAGGAAAAGCTGCACGGTTCTCCTCACCTCTCCATCACCATTTCATCTTCTGCTTGCTGACCTCGAGGTAACTTGAGAGCTCTCCTTGCTGACGACTTGTGAAAGTCCTTAATTGCCCTCCAGGGCTGATGATTGAATAATAATAAGCTAACAAACATATTGCCTGATGTAAGGGAGCATGCGATAATCACAAAAATGAATAAAAACCCCTGCAAAGAGGAGCAGGAAAAAGGAAAAACACTTTTTTTCTGGAGATGTCTCAAGATTAAAGAAAGTGTTGGCCACATTTGGAGTCTGAGGATGGGAGTTGTCTTGGCTTTTTCTGGTACCTGTCAAGTGAAGGAGGGGGTCTCTGTTTTCCCAGCCCTCTCTCCCCTCTAATCCAATAATATTC